CACATATATATATATATATATATATATATATATATATATATATATGTATATAGATAGATAGATAGATATAGATATATATACAGAGATGGTTAATAGTTATACACATAAATGTGCTAGACATCAAGGTCATATAGCACTGAATAAATATGTGTGTGTGTGTGTATGTGTGTATCTTTTACCCAGTAAGGTGTACACACAATCAAAGGAAAAACATTGTCACAATAGTAGCGAAATAAACTATACCGAAATTCGAGTTTTTCATTTAACGCAGTAAACTACAAAAATATGTCGTATGTCTGATGAGGATATCTTGACGAGCTCGAAACGTCATGTTCTATTTCGTTCCTACTGTGCTTTTCTACATACATTATACATGTGTCTGTGTGTATGTGTCTGTGTATGTGTGTCTGTGTATGTGTGTGTGTGTGTGTGCAGGATATATAACATTAAATTTATCCGTAATCCAGCAATCCAGCCAAGCGAGTATATCAGTTATTTCGATAATATCGTGCAAACTCGGAAATATTAATTATAAGAGTGCTGTTTGCTTCAGCGAGACTCCTCTTACGAGAAATGAGAGACAAGAGCTCGTTTACGCGGTATGTATATACATGCACATGCTCACACTCATCCACACACGCACACATATATGTGTATGAATATTATTATTTGTATGTAGAAGCACAATAATAAAACTTTCATGTTACCCATAACCGTAAGAAAACTTTTACCTGCGCATAATTCCAGGTGATGCTGATTATCGTAATATAGTGTACTGTAATATCAGAAACCTATCACAAACTCCCAAGGTAAACTTTACAGATGATTGAATTACACGAACCTGTTGCAGTTGTTATGCTTCGATCTGATGATACTAACATGTAGTTGCTCGTCTCTAAGTCATAGCCGCCTAGTCCTGGGCTATTTAATACTACAAGGATTACTGAGCCGATGGCAATATCCGATGAGACTCCCATTTCGCTCTTGCTTTCCTGTCGTGTAGCAGAAGTCTTCATTTAACAGAACAAAGGATTGCTTGTTGCGTTCATTTGCGCCGCGCCTACTGCATTGTTCAGCCTGAATACCATTTAACTTCCCGATGTGCTGTAATGATGTTAGAGCTCTGTTACCTGCATTCGATTTCTCTTCGTCAACAACTGGTTGCATGCTTACTTCATTCGCAAGTATGAATGGCTGAATAATGGATTTTTTTTTTCCAAGCGAAATATGTAGTGAACGCATCACTATATTTCTTTGTCTCTTCCTTTTTTCCTATTTTCTTTCTAATACTTTCTCCTGTTATTCTCTTTTTTCTATTTTGTCAAACTAGAAACGCAATGAATTTTCTCTCACTCTCCCTCTCCCTCTCCCTCTCTCTCTCCCTCTCTCTCTCCCTCTCTCTCTCCCTCTCTCTCTCCCTCTCTCTCTCCCTCTCTCTCTCCCTCTCTCTCACCCTCTCTCTCTCCCTCTCTCTCTCCCTCTCTCTCTCCCTCTCTCTCCCCCTCTCTCTCCCTCTCTCTCTCACCCTCTCTCTCACCCTCTCTCTCTCTCTCCCTCTCTCTCTCCCTCTCCCTCTCCCTCTCCCTCTCCCTCTCTCTCTCCCTCTCCATCTCTCTCTCCCTCTCTCTCTCCCTCTCTCTCTCTCTCTCTCTCTCAGTACATAGTTTATAGACAACACAAATCAATTAAAGGGATTTTTAGCGCTTATAAACAATCTATAAAAAATAACAACAAAGATAATGCTAATCCCATCACACAGAGAAGATAACTATTGTAATAATGAGAGTACTAACGAGAACTACGCACGAACCCTTCCATTAAATATTTACCGATTACTGACCAAACACGACAGTTCTGATGTTAATGATACGTGAAGCTCTCCCGATTTCACAAAAAAGGGGGGGAGGAGGGACGGCAAGGAGGGGGTGGTCAGAGGTTTTGTGGAGGGGGGGAGCCATACTGCCCCTTTGTACCTGAGGAATTGTGGTAGCATCCTAAAAGTATGCTGATAATGGTTTTCTTGATAACGCAGTGATCGTTGTGAGTACTGTGATAGTAATAAAAACGATTATACTGATTTTGACAAATATGATGATAAATCTAACTAAAATATCAATGAAAACAGCGATAATGAGATAGTATGATAAACAGAACAAAACAAAATATGTGTACATATATGTGTGCATAAATATATTATAGTGAAAAATTAAAAAGCTCGCGGACGGAAATGGATCTCCAATGCATCAACTCTTTTTATTAATCACTGGGTCCTAATTACCCTGTCAAAGTCATAAAGATCCACCTGATATGAGTATAATCAAGCATTCGTGAGCGTTAATAGACGGAAAGGGCACTGCAAATATAAAAGTCCCATTCATTTTTTTCACGTGTACTTGATATTTGCAACGAGACTTCTTAAAATTCTTTTATTCCTAATTAATATTTTCGTTATCTTTTTTATTATCGGTTTCTATTTTTAGCTATTTGTCAGTATCCATGGCAGTTGCTGATTCTTTTTTTTTTTTTAATTCACGTTACAGGACAGAAATATTGGTTATTTTAATTTTTGGAATGGCCCTCTACGGAAATGATGAGAAACCATATATAACATACCAAACAGAATTAAATAATGTGTTAAACAGTGACGTACCGTTTTTTTAAGTCCTTATTTAAACAGCTACTTGAATTGATTCTAACTTATTTTATACTTTCTGCAACAATTAAGAAAAGAACTACAAATGTCTTCATTAATCAAGATGTGTGTTAGTTATCACCAAAATGCAGCCTTTTATCAGCTCATATATATGATGACAAAAATTTATATTTCATGGAAAGAATAACGTATATCATAATCACAATTTTATTTTATTTTTTGCATAACCATGTTGACAACATTTCATTTTATGTCATCAAGGTGGCCTACATGACTTTAGTTTTTACGGTGTTTTATTGGTATAAAGTTTGCTGGCAATGTGCTATGATATAATTCCACTAATCTTATTGTTATCTATAATCACTTTACATGTAACCGAATTACATAAAGTTACTGACATATCTTTCTCGTCAAAATATAATCTGGTGTTATTTCTTTAGCCCATAATGCCTACACTGTCAGTCTTATACATTGCATAGCTGACACGGGTGTTACACTGTATAATCATAACTATGTGAAGGAACTACTCCCAAAAAGCATCCGAGTTTCAAGAAAACTTTTACTGATGTTCAGTTCAACAAATGAAATGACAAAATCATTAAAACTTTACATGCAGGTGTAAGAATTAAAGTAATACCATATGATTATACTTTTGATAAGAAATATCGGTTTATCTGTTGTTACAATGCCTAGACATTTCCACAGCTTCCAAAGAAATACTGCCTTTTGTAAATATTACATGATCACTAGTAATAGGTTGCTTTAAAAAAAAAAAAATAGATATATTAAATATGTACATACAAAGGACGAAGCAAAACAGACATTAGAGAAAGGCAGAGTAGGTCATGAAGTTCAAAGAAATGAAATTCGTTCATGCTAGGGAGGATGCATTTATCAGCTTCTATCATCTATCCTTATCTCGCACCTCCTCCAGGATGTTCGGCTGTTCCTGCTTTTATCGTGTCGTTTATTTTTTTCTACTCTTAACTTTATTTAATGCTACTAATTCATTTACTTATAAATCAATTTATTTAATAACTCCTTACCTTACCAATCTAAGTACAGAAGCTCCTTGTGATCCACATGGTATGTACTATCATATTCAACAACACGGATGTACATGTAACCTTGTAGATTCTAGATTCCTCGTAGCTTCCGCACAAGGACCTGGGACCCTGTAATCTCTCACTTTGGATAACGGTTCATCGTCAGCGAAGGAAAACAGGAAACGAACCCATCAGCAGAGCATCCTGTCAGTTACGTACACGAAGTGACGAAGCGAGGACACTGTTGAACGTTAACCAATACGTGATATAACAAATAGTGGTTCAATCAGATTCCGTTGTGAAATTCTGTACACGAGTTTGCCATGGACGCTCTGGTCGCCTTTACGACAATTGCCATCATTTTACTACTCTCTCATTTCTTTCTGTATGATCTTGCATGAGTTTCGTTAGATAGTTTTTAGCTTGTTTAGTCTCTTCGTTATTCTTTCTTGTTCCTATTACTTTTTTTAACGTACTCATTCCAGCCACATTCGCTCATAGTCCCACGCACATACACATATTCTTACTTACTCACGCTCACCGCCCCCCCCCCACACACACACACACACACACACATATATACACAGCATATAACGTAGAATTATTGTTTATAATCAAATATATGTATATAAATATATATATTTATTTATCTATATTTATTTACATATATGATTTTTCTATTCGTTTCAGGGTGTGTATGTTTCGTTTACATCGTCTTTGCATTTCAAGAAGACTGATAAATGGTAATTTTTTCCTTAATTTCATACATATTTTATCGTATTCTTTTCCCTATATTTTTTCTTAGATTCTTCTTATATATGGAAACACATATATCACATATATATAACTTTTAGCCTTGTGCACATTTCTTTGACACATTATTTCTTTAAACTCCCCGATTACATATAGTATTATCATTAATCAGCTGTTTTACATGAAAAAGAGGATCTCTGTCTAATTGCACTTAGCAATCATCCTCTACAAATTTCATATTATACGTTAATGTCGATAAGGAAAAGTTATATACACATATAAACTAGTATTATAATCATACCGATATATATGTGACAGTACAATTTTAATTATATAAATGGCTTCAACTATCCTATAAATATTATAGACAACCGAAATGAAGGTGACAAACAAAATGAGATACTTGTACTGTCAGTTTATATTCGCGGGAGTTTTCTCCAAGAGCTCTTTCTCGTGTATGATCGTGGGGCCGGATAGGGTATTTTTTTCAGGGTGGTGCTAGCGAGGATCATGATAAATGTCCATGCGGTTTGGTTTCAGGGTGTGTATGTTTCGTTTACATCGTCTTTGCATTTCAAGAAGACTGATAAATGGTAATTTTTTCCTTAATTTCATACATATTTTATCGTATTCTTTTCCCTATATTTTTTCTTAGATTCTTCTTATATATGGAAACACATATATCACATATATATAACTTTTAGCCTTGTACACATTTCTTTGACACATTATTTCTTTAAACTCCCCGATTACATATAGTATTATCATTAATCAGCTGTTTTACATGAAAAAGAGGATCTCTGTCTAATTGCACTTAGCAATCATCCTCTACAAATTTCATATTATACGTTAATGTCGATAAGGAAAAGTTATATACACATATAAACTAGTATTATATCATACCGATATATATGTGACAGTACAATTTTAATTATATAAATGGCTTCAACTATCCTATAAATATTATAGACAACCGAAATGAAGGTGACAAACAAAATGAGATACTTGTACTGTCAGTTTATATTCGCGGGAGTTTTCTCCAAGAGCTCTTTCTCGTGTATGATCGTGGGGCCGGATAGGGTATTTTTTTCAGGGTGGTGCTAGCGAGGATCATGATAAATGTCCATGCGGTTTTGATGTTACATTAGTTTAAAGAATCAAGAAGTTTTTACTTTGAATTTTTAACTTTTATTTTTAATCGTGATGTTATTAAGTTTCTCTTTTATTCGATTAATATATTGCATAAGTTGGGAATGCTTTTTCCAACCTGGAAATAACATTGCCTTTTCTGTGTTTGTAAAATCCCACAACCTATAGAAATATATAGTGATGAATTTTCACATACATTTTTGACATGAAAATGTCAGAATTTTTTCTATGGAGTTGATGACGTTGTCATGACGTTCCGATACATGATTGGTGGGATTAATTAGCTCGTTCTGCGGATGTGCAGGATTAATCGTTGGGCTCAAAAGTAAAGCCTGGTCCGGATAATTAAATTTAATCCTGGACGCTGGCAATGCTCATGCGTACTTGAAATCTGGCTTAAACTTTAATACTGGATTAACTTTCATGGCACGTATCGAAGACACCATATATAATTAGTCTCGGTTCTATTAGACGAAACAGCATCGAAGAGTTTTCCTTTGAAAGAAATTTATAATTAATCTCATTAACCTGCCAGAAAAAAATCTTCAATTCTAAGTTGGCCATTCGCGTGGTAAAAAAATAAACTTTCAGTTCAAACAAGTTTACATGCAACACTGATTAAGTGACTTATAATCACGGAGATTCACGTGGTATGAATGGAATGGAATTATTCATAAGCATGATACTAGCCTATTTGACCACACATGCATTCACACAATAAGAATATTAGTGGATCCTAATTTTTTTCTTGCCGTTACCCACTTTTCTTATATGATCTTAGTCCATGGCTCACCGCCATGTAATTTTATTAATTCTACATGTTTTTTCTTTCTTTTTTTCTTTTGTTTGTGAAGTATTGATAGGTAGTGATATAACGCATATAAAGATGCCCACACATAGACTAATTTAAAATGGCATTATTGCGAAAAGTTTCAGCAATAATAATAAAACAAAATAAAGCATAACTAGGAAACATTAGAATTATGTTCAAATTAAATTATTTACTACCGTGATTCGTTCCAGTGTCTTTCTGTAAAAAAAAATAATAATAATAGTAATAATAATAATGATAAAAAAATAAATAAGAAAGAAAAAAACATGGTAATTACATACAAAAAAGGATGTACCACTCATGTGTCTGGCAGCAAGGCGTTGCACTAACTTAACTAAACCACTGGCCTACCCGCTAAATATAAACTCGCTGGTTTATATATACATATCCTCAGATTATGACCCCTAGTTTGGGAACCACTGATATTGATAGATAGATACAAACATACGCACACACATATATAAGTACGTATATACATATAGATATATGTTTGTAAATAAATAATATATATATATAAATATATATGTACGTGTATATATACTAAATATATACATATAATATATATTTACATATGTATATTTACACACACAAATATATATATATATATATATATATATATATATATATATATATCTGTAAATATCTACGTGTGTATTAATATATAGAGAGAGATCCCTCTCTCTATATATATATTTATGTATATATATGTATATTTTACTCTCTAGGAGATCACCATGAACGCCCTCCGGAAAAGAAAGACGACGCTAAGTCTTGTAGTGAAGTAGTCAATGAGTGCTCTGAAGAAGAGAGATCCATCCTTCCCGCTGCCCCTGATGACAGTGGCTACCTTGAGCCCATACAGACCGCGGTGAGTTCCGGTACTAATGTGTCTTGTAAAGTTTGTGGATGTTACAAATAGAGCTATCTCCTGTGAAGACAATGCATGAATTGATTTGATTTTACTTATCTATTTATTTATATATTATTGCACAATCAGATAAGAGACGGCACATACGAAAATGTCACTCCAGGTATCACTCACTTCGATGTAGAAGGGATTTTGAACAAATTGCTTGATTCTGAGGCTGTGCAGACGTTGATCCGGGTGAGTAAATGGAACTGAAAGAAGTTATTTAAATAATTGCTTCCCCAGGCTATTAAAAAAAAACACGTACAAAAATTCTTTGGAGTCAGGTTGTGAGTACAAGTTTTTGTCGGAAAGTAACTGTCCACCCTATAGCATCATCCTTTTGCTTTGTTCATATGTTCCACTACAAACATCCACTTGAAAAAGGGATCATCATTTCATATACTGTGTACTGATAGCTTTTGTCATATATGATATGAACGCATACCGGCATCTGTATTTTTTATATCATAAGGTCAGTGTGTATGTGCATATGCAAATTCATAGACAGATAAATGTTAATACTGTGCGTATGAAATATGAAAATATAAACTTCCAAAGGAAATTATTTTATTTCTACATTACTTATATATATGTATGTGTATGTGTATTTATGTATATATACTATGTCCATGATTCGTATTGGCTGTATTAATTGTAATTAGTAGCAGTATTCTTTGATTATTGTCGTTGTCAATATTGCTATCGTTACTATCATTATTGTTATGATTATCACCACTGGTATGTTTATGATCATTATTATTATTATTACAAATATTATTACCATTGCCATCATTATTAGTAGTACTAAAATTAATATTTTCATCATTATCATCAAATATATTACTATCAAAATATTACCACCATTATTACTGATGATCTTGGTGTTCCGTACAGAGTATGCCTATACATCTTGAGGAGTATGATTACACCCAGTCTTCTGAGAACCTTTTAAAGAATTGGTGTAAAGATATTCTACCATGTAAGTCCTATTTTTAAAAATACTCTGTTAAGGTTATGTACATATTGATTCAGAAATATAAAAACAAAAACAGTTATAAATGGTGGATGTTACACATAATACAACGGGATTGCAAATATACCTTATATATACAGGTAACAATACGAGAGTTATCTTGACGCCCATGTTTGGCATTGAATCTACCGATTATGTCAACGCTAGCCACATTAAGGTAAGCTCTCTTGGACCTTAGAGTATTGTCGCTTTTATAATCGTAACTGATTACGCGTTTCTTTCTCTGTGTATGTGTATATATATGTATATATATATATATATTTATATATGTTTACACATATAGATACACAAATGCATGAATTTACATAGAGAAAAATTAATTGATAAACTGATTAATCGATCATTAAAAATTATCTGCCGGATCACAGCGGCAAACCGAGTAAACTTTAATTCCCTTCAACGCAGAACAGATGTCCCTCTAAGCGATTATCTAAATAACTGTTAGACACAATGGTAGAAGTAAAAAGCTGTCACTTCGATATTCTTTGTATATATTCTGGATCAAAGGCATTTTGACGTTGTCCAGAACCTTTGTGAACTACTGCAGACATATGGATAGTATTTCTCTTTATGCTCACAGACTTTTAGAAAGCTTCGACACCCCGACATCAGCAACCCCTTGACATCTAATCTATCCTACATCTCTACATATCTGGCGCTCTCAAAATTTGGATGTCATTACCTGCTTAATACACCTGGCACTTTCCTGGTGCTTATATACTTTCCTAACACTCTCACGTTCTTTGCTTACTAGTGTCCACATCGATAGCTTATATGGTAATTAAATACTTTACCTGGTACTCACTTGCATCTATCACCACCATTCGTATATTTTACTTACCTTACCTGGAACTCACACACTTTACTTATCTGGCACTTACTTGCTTTACTTACCTGGCACTCAAATATTTTCACTTATTAGCGTCTACATCCGTAGCTTATTTGGTAATTAGATACTTTACTTACCTGGCACTCATTTCGCCTTCCTCACCAGCACTCGTATATTTTAAACTACTTACACCTATTTCCCTTACCTGGAACTCACATATTTTATTTACCTGGCACTTACTTGCTTTACTCACCTGGCACTTATATATTTTATATATGGAGCTCACATATGTTACTTACCTAGCACTCAAATATGTCAGTGCCCTCACCAGCATTCGTATATTTTACTTATGTACAATCACTCACCTTACCTGGAATTCACATACTTTACTTACCTGGCACTTACTTGCTTTACTCACCTGGAACTCAAATATTTTACTTACTAGCGTCCACATCCGTAACTTATTTGGTAATTGGTAAACTACCTACACTCATTTCCCTTACCTGGAACTCACATACTTTTCTTACCTGGCACTCTCTTGCCTTCCTCACCAGCACTCATATATTTTACTTAACTACACTCACTTCCTTTACCTGGAACTCACATACTTTACTTACCTGGCGCTCAAATATGCCAGTGCCCTCACCACCATTCGTATATTTTACTTATCTACAATCACTTACCTTACTTGGAATTCGCATACTTTACAAATACGTCAGCGCCCTCACCAGCATTCGTATATTTTACTTATCTACAATCACTTGCCTTACCTGGAATTCACATACTTTACTTACTTGGCACTTGCTTTACTCACCTGGCACTCAAATATATTCACTTACTAGCGTCCACATCCGTAGCTTATTTGGTAATTAAATTCTTTACCTACCCGATACTCACCTTCATCACCAGTACTTGCATATTTCAAGCTACCTACACTCATTTCCCTTACCTGGCACTCAATTGCAGTACTCACCTGGCACCCATATATTTTATATATGGAGCTCACATATGTTACTTACCTAGCACTCAAATATTCCGGTGCCCTCACCAACTTTCGTATATTTTACTTACTTATAACCACTTACCTTACCTGGAATTCACATACTTATCTGGCACTTATTTGCTTTACTCACCTGGCACTCAAATATTTTCACCTACTAGCGTCCACATCCGTAGCTTATTTGGTAATTAAATACTTTACTTACTCGGTACTCACTTGCCCTCCTCACCAGCACTCGTATATTTTAAACTACCTACACGCATTTCCCTTACCTGGAACTCACATACTTTACTTACCTAGCGTTCATATATTCTATATATGGAGCTCACACATGTTATTTACATGGCACTCAAATATGTCAGTGCCCTTACTAGCATTCGTATATTTTACTTACCTATAATCACTTACCTTACCTGGAATTCACATACTTTACTTACCTGGCACTTGCTTTACTCACCTGGTACTCAAATATTTCACTTACTAGCGTCCACATCCGTAGCTTATTTGGTAATTAAATACTTTACTTACCCGGCACTCACTTGCCTTCCTCACCAGCACTCATATATTTTACTTACCTACAATCACTTTCTTTACCTGGAGCTCACATACTTTACTTACCTGGCGCTTATATATTTTATATATGGAGTTCACGTATATTACTTACCTGGCACTCAAATATTCCGGTACCCTCACCAACTTTCGTATATTTTACTTACCTATAATCACTTAACTGACCTGGAATACACATACTTTACTTATCTGGCACCTACTTGCTTTACTCACCTGGCACTCGAATATTTTCACTTACTTACGTCCACATCCGTAGCTTATTTGGTAATTAGATACTTTATTTACCTGGCACTTGCTTGCCTTCCTCACCAGCACTCGTATTTTTGAAACTACCTTCACTCATTTCCCTTACCTGTAACTCGCTTATTTTACTTATCTGGCACTCAATTGCAGTACTCACCTGGCACTCATATATTTTATATATGGAGCTCACATATGTTACTTACCTGGAACTCAAGTATGTCAGTGCCCTCACCAGCATTCGTATATTTTACTTACCTACAATCACTTGCCTTACCTAGAATTCACATACTTTACTTACCTAGCACTTATTTGATTTACTCACCTGGCACTCAAATATTTTCACTTACTAGCGTCCACATCCGTAGATTATTTGGTAATTAAATACTTTACTTACCTGGCACTCACTTGCCTTCCTCACCAGCACTCATATATTTTACTTACCTACTCTCACTTCCTTTACCTGGAGCTCGCATAATTTACTTACCTGGCACTCAAATATATCAAGTGCCCTCACCAGCATTCGTATATTTTACTTATCTATAATCACTTACCTGGAATTCATATACTTTACTTACTTGGCACTTGCTTGCTTAACTCACCTGGCACTCAAATATTTTTACCTACTAGCGTCCACATCCGTAGCTTATTTGTTAATTAAATACTTTACTTCCTTGCCTTCCTCACCAGCACTCGTATATTTGAAACTACCTACACTCACTTCCCTTACCTGGAACTCACATACTTTACTTATCTGGCACTCAATTGCAGTACTTACCTGGCACGCACTCATATATTTTACTCATATATGTTACTTACCTGGCACTCAAATATTCCAGTGCCCTCACCAACTTTCGTATATTTTACTTACCTATAATCACTTACCTTACCTGGAATTCACATACTTTACTTATCTGGCACCTACTTGCTTTACTCACCTGGCACTCAAATATTTCACTTACTAGCGTCTACATCCGTAGCTTATTTGGTAATTAAATTCTTTACTTACCCGGTACTCACTTACCTTCCTCACCAGCATTCGTATATTTTAAACTGCCTACACTCATTTCCCTTACCTGGAACTCACATACTTTACTTATCTGGCACTTACTTGCTCTACTCACCTGGCACTCAAATATTTTCACTTATTAGCGTCAACATCCGTAGCTTATTTGGTAATTAAATACTTCACTTACCTGACACTCACTTGCCTTTCTCACCAGCACACATATATTTCACTTACCTTCACTCACTTCCTTTACCTGGAGCTCGCATAATTTACTTATCTGGCACTCACTTGCTGTACTCACTTGGCACTCATCCACTTCCGTAGCTTATCTGGTGCTCACATATGTTACCGTTCTCGGCAGCACCCGTATATTTTACTTACCTACACTCGCTTCTTTTAACTGATACTCACTTTTTGGTTACCTAATGCTTACATATTTTACTTACCTAGGACTCGCTTGCATTACTTACCAGTAACTGCTTTACTTGGTGCTCATTTCCCTTATTTACCTATAACACTTCCGTTGCCTATCTTATGACTATCACTTTACTTACCTAACACATATTTACCTTACTTGACATTCGCCTGACGCTCGTTTTATTCATTGTGGCGCTCATTTTCTGAATTATCTGACGCTCACGCTCATGTTACCTGCCCTACCTATTATTCGCTGATTTAATTACCCGGTCGTCCCTAACCACGTTTATCTAGTGCTCTTGTACATTACTTAGCCGACACTGACTTTCCTTATCTGAGGCTCATTTATGCGACACTTTTTATATTTTACTTATCTGGCGCTCATATACTTTATTTACCTTAACATTCAATACTATAATTCCCGTAAAGAGTGTCGGTGCTTAAGCTTCAGGAGTGCTTGTAGCAGATGTGTCTGTTTTCTCACCACTATTTAGGATGCAGCCAAGCAGTTTGCACGCTGTAGTTATGCGAGGCCGATGTTCTAACCCAAACATGATTCTAAAATAGGACGAGAAATGTTTCAACCAAAGGGAAGACTTGGAGGCTTGGCTAAATGTGTAAAGCTGGGTCTCCCAAAGTGAGTAATCCATTACCAAGATGTGTCGGAAGATACCAAAGCATTCTACGAATGCAATAAGATGGTCTCTTCTGGCGAATCTTATAGCTGAAACTATGGTTATGATCCGAAGCAGTATTTCGTGTGACACGCAGAGAAACACGTTCAGAGTATCAATTATGGAGTTTCTATTGAAATGGGTGCTACAGGGAAGGTTACGCGAGTTTATTGGTGACATTCCGAAAAACTAGTCAGAAACATCTGATTTGAAGGGAATAAAAGTTTCGTCATATATGCGGGTCTCTAAATTCATCTGCAATTCTTGATCAAATTAATCTTTTATTCCAGGGTTTTGGCGGAGGTCTGGAGTACATTGCTTCACAGGGTCCCCTCGACACGACCGTGGGAGATTTCTGGAGGATGGTTTGGGAGCAGCGAGTGTCTGCTATCATCATGGCTGCCAATTTTCATGAGACGTCTGAGGTGTTTGTTTAATATTGAAAATTTGGACGAAAAACAGATCTAAACATAGACACAATCTCCTGCACTTTTCATCCTTTATATTTAACAGACAACTTGAGAGTATGGAAATTGTTTGTTTACGCACTTTTTCCGTCACAGATGTATCCTAACTGTCGTCTTGCCGAGTATATTAGGGTCGGGCCACCTCTTCAAGGGAGTGGATTCACTGTTACCATTCTCAAGTCACGCCTGAGAAAGGAATTTTTTTCCTCAACGGTTCAGGTTAATTCGGGTGCTTTCCCTTTTCTTGAGAAAGACAAATCATTTTTGTATTGTTATTCTTGTCAGCATATTCATGATTATTTTTCTTCTAATTATTACCATAATCATTATCATTATCGTCACCATCACAGCATATCACTTCCATCACATTCGTCATCATTATCGTTATTATCATCAGCAGCATTGTTATTATAACTCATGAAGCGATATCATACTAACCCCCAAACCATGGCTATAGATTGAGTACAACGGCGCCACGCACACCGTGGAGCACTACCATCATCCTAAGTGGGAGCAAAATCCACAAAAAAACGTCATCCGATCCCTGGCGGCCATGCTGCGGCATTTCCTGGATATCCATAAAGAGGGCACGTTTGCACGTTTTTGTGTGCGCGTGCGTGCGCGCGTACGTGTGTGTGTGCGTGCGTGCGTGTGTACGTGTGTGTGTGTGTGCGCACTATATATATATACACAGGTTAAGTCAGGATTATTGGGTATGCTAAAAGAGATAGTGCATTAGATTTTTATTTATTTACTCATATTTGGTTATACATGAACTTTTTTTGAGGGAGGGTGGGTAGGTTGCACAATAAGTTTTTGTTCGTTTTCTTTCTTAGTGATACATAAACAGAAACGTAACCTTTCAGTTCTCCTTTTCGATTGTACCTATAAAGGGTACATTTTTTTCTTTTTTTTTCACGAAGAGGGTATGTAAGTTTTTTGTTAACTTTATTGTGCTTAAAGAAGTTACTTTTTATCATTGCATAAAAAGGGTAAGTTGTTTTTATTTTCTTTGGGGGATGGTTAATTATGATTAAGGGAAGTACGTATATTCATCCGATTTTCCTACGTAACACTAATATTCATAAAGGTTATCAATAGACTTGTATTGCAAATATCATGATTTCCCTTTTAAAATCACACCTCACATCCAAACTCTTATACTTCAATACATTCCACAGGGAAATTAGTGGTTCACTGCACAGATGGCTTTGGAAGGACAGGAACGGTGCTTGCGGTGTTACTTCTGACGGAAATGATCAAGTGCGAAAAGCGTTTGGACGTCAATGAAGTGGTTACAAGTCTACGAAGATCCCGTCCTGGGTTGCTTATGCAGCAGGAGGATCTTGACCTTGCATTGGCAACTTTGGATGAGCTTTTGCATGGGCTTGTTACCGCTCACGACGCCTATGAGTTCAAGAGAAACTTATTGGAAATCTTAAAGGTTTATATACACACTATATGTGTGGGTGTGTGTGTGCGTGTCTGTATTGTGCGTGCGTGTACGTATAGGTAGGTAGATGTAGATATACAGATTTTATTTAATTCTCAAATAATATCAAAGCAACCGTTCTTTTCACTAGTTCGTGTGTGATTTTCAGTCAACGATGCATTTCAACAGCCTGTTCCAAATTCCAGAGATCAAAAGCTTTGTTCAAAAAGGCTCAAGAAATCAAGTCCATCCCGAATCCCGAGACAGCTCAGCGACCTCCTCGCCTCAACGTGGACAGCGGTCGTGTGATGCTGGACGTGGAGGATACGACCGGAGATGAAAGCCTCGATAAAGATGAAGAAAATGAGAAAGAGGATCTCTATGCCATAAATCAAACGCAGGACGATCTGCAGCATCCGAGTCAGAGATGTATCAACGCCGTTTGGGTTGATGGTTACGACCGGAAACGGGATGTCATTGTAACGAAGCATCCGCCAGCGGCTATGAGAGCGTGGTTCTGGCGACTCGTGCTCCAGAACCGCTGCCACGACGTTGTCCTCGTCAATAATTACTTAGAAAATGACGATGAGGTAAGAAGATTCAACAGTAATTCGGGCCATTGCTACTCACACAAATACACAGGATTTTTTTATTTTATAAATATATAAATATATATGGGCCACCTTTGTATGTACATATGTGTGTGTGTAAATATACATTATTATTTATACAAACATTTAGATTTATTTATAAATGGATTTTCAAACGTTTTAAATATTTTAAAATTTCAAACCCACAAGGCATTCGCCGCTAATGACCTTAGCTGCTGACGCGGCAAATTAGAAATAATCAATTGTGTATATATATATATATATATATATATATGTATATATATATATTTATATACATATACATGTGTGTGTGTATATATACATACATACATACATACATAAATGCATATACATATATATACACATATATGCAAGTTATCTTCATATGCATATATATGCATAATATATACATATATGTATATGTATATAAAGGTATATATAAATGTGTTTATTATAAATAGACAGATATATAGATATACATTTAGATGTATCTATAAATGCATGTATACACACATACATACATATATATAAATATATGTATGTATGTATACATTAGTTATGGTATATATAATTATACATATATATAATATATCTAAAGTATATATATGTATATATGTGTGTATGTTTATATTTACACATATATATAACAATAATGTGCAGTTATAGATACATATAAACGCATATCTATCTAACCGTCTATGTATGATGAGCACACACATTTACACGCGCGCGCGCGCACTCACACACACATATACATAAACTTGTATGTATGTATACATGTGTGTTTGCATTACTGATAAATAGATATATAGTTATGTATTTATATGTATCTATTGAAGCATAAGTACATATATATTATACAATATATATACATATATGTGTGTGTGTGTCTGTGTGTATACAGCCATAATAGATGCATATGTACATATATATTGAGACCAATCAATATACTGTTAAACGTCCAGCGAGAATACCCGGCACTCATACCTGGCGAGGGAGGAGAAGCAACCTTCGGGGAATGTTCGATACGAGTGCTAGCTGCTCAAGCGCCAGCTCAGTCGATTATCAAGTATCAAGTGAAGGTCACACTAAGTGAAGTAAGTACAGTACATACTCCTTAACATAATGCTGATTTACAGCTATGGACAGGCTTACAGACACACAACCACGCACGCTGTGTTTACACTGTACGACAAATGAATCACGCATTCCGTTAGTATACTACAAATACCTATCATTTCGTTTGTATACTCTTAATAAGTCCTTATAACCCTTATATGCTCTTAATTAATCCTCTAAAACCACGTCTCTTAACACCATTATCGTACAGGACGAGGCTTTAATGGTCAGAGTGTACAAGATCACCGATTGGACTTATGGACGAGATATTCCTCAATCTCCATTAGTTGTGAATTCTCTGACGGAAATTTTGCACGATATTCCCTCGACACCTCATACAGGCCCCAAGCTGTTTTGTTGCGGGTAAGAAGTAGTATTTTTCTATTAAAGCATTATTATCATTGTTATTATTATCAATATCATTATAATTACAATTTTCGACATTGTTATCATCGTTATCATTGTTATTATTTTTATCTATATTTTCATTATCATCATTAACATTATCACTATCATTATTTTTAGTATTATTATTATTATCAATTGCATTATCATCATCATATCATCATCATTACAATGATCACTCTCATCATAATTATTATTTTTGATGCTGTCATTATCATTACCATTATTATTATAATCAGTATTATAACTATCATTACTATTATCGCCATTATAATCGCTATCATTAATATCTTCGTCATCATCATTATCATTAACATCATTATTCACATTATTACTGCAATTATTATCATT